TTCTGTTAGCCCTATGCACGTGGTCCAGTGCTAGTCTACTCATTCCTTTCCCTTCCTTTCAATCCAGACAGTCCTTGCTTCTCCACTGAAAAGTAGATGACTTTAACACCATCCCTCTTACATCAAGCTCCCTGTCTCCTGGGTCATCTTTACCATTAAGCAAATACATCCAGCCTCCGATATACAGTGTTCTGTATATCACTGCCTCGATCACATTCCTCCTAGGCTATAATAGCATTTCCCTGCTATCTTTCAGAGTAAAGCTTCAATATACATTTGTCCCACACTATTCCAGTGGGACTATTGTTGTCCAAGTCTGTACTGCTCAATCTAGAGGTTTCACCTCAGTGGACAAAATGACGTTAGACAGTTAAGCACTATATGTGAGACACTATTCAAAGTACTACACCCAACAGTGACACAGTACAAGTGTGTCCTTGCACTCGGGGTCCCTGTAGTCTATTAAAAGGCACTAACAAAGTGAGATGGTGAGATATCTCTGTAGGTAACTGCTTCCTGCCAATCTTGATGACCTGAGTTAGATCCCTGAAACCCACACAGTGGAAAGAAAGAACCAGCAGTTATGGTCTTAAAATATTTCCACCCTCCTCTTCCAAGATGTACCCTGAGCCTTAGATGCACAGCGCTTGCGTCATAGATGTATCAGCTGTTTTCTGCATTTTGACTAATTGTGGTCGTCTGCAAAACATTCATTCATCTGTGGGTACTTGGATAAGTTGTAGTGTAGCTAGAAATTATAGCGGTTTAGGGACACGGTTATAATGGGTTCTCCTCTAGGTATATGTCTTCACCAGCCAAGAGTTAGGTGGCTATGCTTATAGTATCAGACATGAAAGTCCTTCTACTGAATGGCCTGTAATCCAGTTAGATGGCTGTTGGTTGCCTCCTGATTAAGTACACATTTCAGAATATCTTGCCGAGTAAGAAGCCTTGAATTTGAGGGCAGGAGGAGGAAATACATAAGGAGGAACTGGAGAGAGGACAGAGGAGGGAGAATAAAGCACATATAGAAGTCAGATTTGAAATTTTCAAAAGCTACATTGAGAACTGGGGGATGGGGGAACCACTCCTATAAGAGTCCTTGATCTGTGTGTGCTCTACATGTGCTTTACAGAATGTGTGTTCTCAGAACACACAATAAATGTAAGAGCGAGCGAGCGAGCGAGAGAGAGAGAGAGAGAGAGAGCGCGAGAGCGAGAGAGAGGCAAAATCGGTAGGTCTATATGTGTTTGTGGGTACACAAAGGGATGAAAAGTAACATTACTATTTCAGTAATATGTGTGCTTATTAAGTGTCTGTATTCTCTTATCTTACTTCCCTATATGGTAACCGAAGTCATTAATGTGATAGAGTTTGGTGGGGGGCGTCTGGGGAATGCTTAGGTTACACAGACAGTGTGCCCGGGACAGGACTGACTGCCCTAATGAAAAAGACTGATGAAGAAAACTAGCTGCCCTTAAGCCAGGTGAGGACCCAGAAAAAGGTATAAGACCCAGACGGATCAAGAACTCACAACCAGAACCCGCTCCTAGATAGCTCACCCTCCACACAGTGAAAACAAATTCCTGTTCCTCGATTCCTGCTTCTGGAGCTCAAAGAGAGCAAGACAAGGATAACAGCTCTAGCCATATGTGCTCTACTGGCTCAGTCGTTAATGTGAAGGGCTATTTCTTGACTTTGCTAAAACCTTGAGGTTTTGGAGGGGCACCAGTAAGAAATTGTTCCTTCTTCCTCATGTGTTTTCCTCACGGGTCGAGCATGTGTCTAGCAGGCTGAAAGCCCCGGGTTTGATACCAAATCATTTCACAAATAAGTCAATAATGCAATTTTAAACCAATACTTTAATTAACTTTTATGAGTTTGAATGTTTTGCCTGCACATATGTAAGTTTGAGTTTGGTGCCCTCAGTGGCCAGAAAACATTATTGAATCCCCTGAAACTGTGGGTTCTGAAATTTGAACCCAGGTTGTATGGTAAGTGTAACAAGGACAGTCAACTGTCTAGCGATCTCTCCAGCCCTCTCCTTTTTACTATTAAGTTGTATGGGTGTGCGAGTGTGTGTGTGTGTGTGTGTGTGTGCACGCGTGCGCGTGCCATGGCAACTTTCATGAGTTAGTTCTCTCTTTTCACTATACATCCCAGAGATGGAACTCAGGTCCTCAGGCTTGTATGGTTAAGCATTTTTACCCATGAAACTATCTCATTGGCCCAAAATAAATATATTATCTTTTGGTGGAAAAACACTGATGGCCAGGCGGAGGTGGTGCACGCCTTTAATCCCAGCACTTGGGAGGCAGAGGCAGGCGGATATTTGAGTTTGAGGCCAGCCTGGTCTACAGAGTGAGTTCCAGGACAGCCAGGACTACACAGAGAAACCCTGTCTCGAAAAACCAAAAAAAAAAAAAAAAAAAAATAAAACAAAAAAACACTGATGTATCTTAATTCGCCTAGCATATTAATTACCATAAAGCTAAAACAGAAGACCAAGTTAACAAGAGGAAGTATCATGAAAACAAAAACAAACTGCTGGATAGAGGGGTTCTGCAGGGGGAGCTGAGATGGAGAATAAAGCTGAAAAGTTCACTGTCAGAAACAAGTAACTGTCTAAGGAACAGAAGAAGTAACTGCAGAAATGTCTGAAGTCAGTCACTATTTCTTAGGGCTAGCTTAATCTCTACCAGGTAGTCCATGAACTATCCAGGGACAGAATAACCACACAAGACCAAAATACAAGAACTAGTTCACCTTTGCTAAAGGATAACACACTTCCTTGCTAAAGACAAGGGTCACTTAAGTCTGACTTCTATGACACAGTAACTCTCAGACACATAGTAACTGTGTAGGAAGGCAACAAGGAAATCAGACTTCTAAAGGAAGGACAATTCAGATTCAATGGTACAATTATGATCTTGATTCTTCTTATCAAACCAGTCACAGAAAACTTGGCTACAAATTACTCTTAAGAAAATACATATTCCACTAATGCCACACTTTAAAAACTGAGCCTTTAAAAGTAACTCATTCATACATTTAAAACACCCCATTTTAATATGCAAGGTGTAAAAAGGCAATATCAGAAAATGAAGTGTACTATTTAATTTTCATATATATATATATATTTTAATTTAATTTTTTTTTTTTTGAGACAGAGAAGTCACATAGTCCTGGCTGTCCTAGACCTCACCATGTAAATCACGATGGCCTAGAACTCACAGAGATCCACCTGACTCTGCTTCCAAGTGCTGGGATTAAAGACATGTGCAACCACACCAGCCTATATACCAGCTTATATTTTTTTCCTTTTCAGTTTAAAGATAATAAGGCACATTAAATAACAGAATTTGCATCTGACCTTACCTTTGTAAGATAATCCATTTTCAAGTTGTCGATCATCATGTTTTTTTGGGATAGCTCGATTTTCAGTAACTGAATATTATGAAGTATTTCTTTTCTTTCAATTAACTGCCTGGTGATTTTGACTTTACCCTCTCGCTCTTCTGATGAGGAAACATCATCTGTGTGAATGGTTGTTTCTAAACTAATATCTTCAGATTCCATAGAACTGGAGATATTTACTTTTTTTGATTCCTTGGCAATTTTTCGAGACATTTTATTATTTGAATTTATCTTCTGTAGAATAAAAAGAAAGAAAGTTAAATATACAAAAAACCTACTACAGTGCATACAGTGCATTAATGAGACACCAAAGACTGCCAAAATCATTAGGTATTGAAAGGTCCCAAATCTAAGACAGATTAGTACTATGAATTACTGCTCAAATCAAACACATTCACTAAATCCTATCATGAACTCACCCGTGTGTGTGTGTGTGTGTGTGTGTGTGTGTGTGTGAGTGTGCGTGTTGGGGCAAGAATCTTACTTGAAGGTAACAGAGGTAAATAAAGTCGGGTAAAATAGAAAGGATAGCCTTATAATAACAAGTATCCAAACTCAAGGGGAGGTTGATTTTTATCAGTGTAAGTTCTCATAGAAGTAGTATTTAAATCTGGACAGACACAGGAAAAGGTTTGTATGTCGGTGGAGGGTTTATAAAGTAAGAGCAGAGAAGACATCAAGACTTACATGCCAGGCTTTTTTTTTTTTTTTTTTTTTTTGTAGGTAAGGGATCACTGAAAAATTTGAAAACAGGCTCACAGTGAGACAAAAGCATTTTTAAATAACTTGAAAAACTAGAGGCTAGGATAGCAAAAACTCGAATATTCTAAATAAATAGCACATTATAGCCTTCACTAGGATTTTAGTAACTCCCTTGTTTAAATACTACACGACTTAGTGAAACAGTTACAGAATTAGCTATTTCAGATTTTCTAAAGGGAATGCTGAAGAAGGTGTGGGGTGGTGGTGGGAACAGTAAGAGCCACAGTACAATCCGCCTCTTTCCTTTTCAAAGGGAAGGTGTGAAAAGAAAAGATAAAATAAAAAAATCCTCGCGTGAGTTACAAAGGACCAGGGACTGGCTTCTCCCTCTTTGGCTAAGAAATCTATAAATTCTAAACTTCATACATTTTAGCATCTTTGCACCGCGCGTGAAAGAAAGGGAAACAGATTCCTGGAAGCTACCTCTCAAGCGTCAGTAACTCCGCATATAAGGCTAAAACCAGCTTCACTTCGGACACTTGGAAGAACCAATGGCGTCTTCAGTCAGCAGCTCAGGCTGCAACCCCTCAACAAGTATCTCGGGGCTACCGGACCGTTAGGAGCGGTCACCAAGACAACCACCCTCCCTGCCCCAGAAGAAGTCGGAAGAACTTGGGGCGCGTAGGTACCCAAGCTCACTTTTTCCCGGAAGCCAGACGGAAGCGGTGCAGGCTGGGAGCTGCAGTCCAGAGGAAAGCCCCGCCCACATACGGGCAAAAATAACCCACACTCGCCCAATCACCACGACCGTCCGGGAACTAACGCGTATCAGTGTTTTCTCGCGAGACCGGAAACTAACCGCTCGCGGGAAGAGGCGGAAATACGAGTTGGTAGCGCCTCGGTTTCTTGTCTGACGCTTTTTCCGTCCGAGTTTTGTAGCGGTTGGGATTCCGCCCTTGTCGGCATTCCACGCCGCGAGACAAGGATGCTCAAGTCCAAAACGTTCTTAAAGAAGACCCGCGCGGGCGGCGTGGTGAAGATCGTGCGCGAGCACTACCTGCGGGATGACATCGGCTGCGGGGCGCCGGCTTGCTCGGCCTGCGGCGGAGCGCACGCGGGTCCGGTCCTGGAGCTGCAGCCCCGCGACCAGGCGAGCAGCCTCTGCCCGTGGCCGCACTACCTTCTGCCGGACACCAATGTGCTGCTGCATCAGGTGCGTGGACGCCGGGCCGCGTGGTGACGAGGGGGCGTGGCAGATAGGGACACTGGGGACCGGGGAGGCGTGTCTTGGGATGGAGAGGCAAGTACCTTGGCCACCCTCGCTTCCAGATATCCAGGCCGAGGTACCTTTCCCTAACGTTGCTTTATTTATATTTTTTCGATTCTTGGAGTTGTATTTTTAGACACGTTAATTTTCTAACCGCTGGTGTCTCTTCTACTTTAGATTATAAGTGCCTGGAAGCCGGGGACCTGGGCTTCTGTGGCCTCCAGATTGCGACCCCCAGGCATCTTGTAAGTGCCTACGAACAAAAATTGTGTGGGCCAGCGTAATAATATATTTAGTAGTAGCTTTGGTATTGCAAACTTTGGTGGTCCGATTACGGGTGCTTCATCATCTCATGTCTACAGGGTCCAGTGACTTTGTCACGTTTTCTACAGCAAAGTAACACTTTAGCCTAATGGAGAGTCAGTATTGAACTGTAACAAGAATTTAGGCTTGACAGAGAGAAGTTATAACTGAACACGGAGGGAAAAAAATTAACGTTTTGCTTTTGTTTTTAAGATTGATGTTCTCGAGGACCCTGCCATCAGGAATGTCATTGTGCTACAGACAGTCCTGCAGGAAGTGAGGAACCGGAGCGCCCCCATATATAAGCGAATCAGGGATGTGACTAATAACCAGGAGAAGCATTTCTATACGTTCACTAATGAGCACCATAAGTAAGTATCACGGAAATCACGGGGTTACCTAAATTCAAAACAAACTTCCTGGGAGTAATTTATCAAACACCGTCTGCAGCTTCCCGTGCTGTTTGGTTGTTACTGAGCTCTGTGGAAGACAGTGCTGTGTAGGCCTCAGCTAAGGTCACAGTGTTCGTGAGGTCACACTACCTCGGAAATACTCCCTTTAAGTTGTGTCTGTTGAGTTGAATGGTAGAGTCTTTGGAGTTAAGAATCATCTACGTTCCTGCTATACCATATTATGTGAATAATATAGGATTAAAATGTGGGAGTTTGGCTCAGCGGTTAAGAGCACTGACTGCTCTTCTAGGGGTCCTGAGTTCAATTCCCAGCAACTATGTGGTGGCTCACAACTATCTATAACAGGATCTGATGCCTTCTTCTGGTGTGTCTGAAGACAGCTACAGTGTACTCATATACATAAAATAAATAATTCCAAAAAAATGTGGGAGTTTGTGAAAAAAAATACAAATTTATGATTAATAAGCTTTATCTTACATCTGATTTATTGAAATTGGATTTCTAAAAATAATTTGTTATAATTCAGGTTCATGACCTTTGTGCATTCTCAGAACATATGGATTGTCTATTGTAACAAATAATATATAATGTGTATCTATGATGCTTAAAGTCACTTTCTCAACTTTGACATTATTAGCATTTTGAACCTAGTAGTATTTTGTTGTATCAAATTATTTTATACATTGTAGGTGCTTAGCAGCATGTCTGGCCTATGCCAAGACTGTGCATTCACCCATCAGTTCCAAGGTTAATGAGCCAGAATGTTTCTAAACACTGTCTTGTGCACCCCATTTTTACATCTTGGAAGTAAGTTCTTCAGGAACTAAGAGCACGCAAACACACACACACACACCCCTAGAGAGAGGGCGGAGCGGGTGGATGGAGAGAAAGACAGAGACAGACAGACAGACAGCATGTCTGCCTGTGGGCTGCTCATTCATTGTACTTCCTTAAACTCCAAAAGTAGATATCAATTGGTTTCTAGGACCAAAAGACCAAGATTGTATTGAACATGGTCGTATTCCTGACACAGGCTTAGCAGGGTTTTAGTTCAAGTGCTTTGAATAGATTTTAGTAGTTTAGGGACTAGTTAAAAGACTTAGGACACAAAGCAAATCTCACTTAGATTTTGTTACTTAAGTTCATTATATTAAAACCACATTTAAATTTTAAGTTCATATGATTTACTGATAAGCTTAGGTTTATTAAATTTGTAACCAATGGACCATTTACCAGAATAGTTATGAATGTGGCCAACACATTTGTAGAGGCACAGATATGTTGCACCTCTGAGAACATTAGTAGGTAGAGTGAATTGGAGGGAATAAAGCCATGTTAAAGATAATGGCTTTGAAGAACAGACTTAAAGAACCGTATAAGAGTACTTTTGTGTTTGGGAGTTATAGTCTTGTCAGTTCTGTGCAGCCTTTGTTGTTGATTTAGTGCTTGCCATGGAATATTTACCTGGATTATCTATTGATTAATCATTGAATCACATGCTCATGAATATTCTAGTCAGTCACACTACAAACTTTAGCAATTGCTGTTATTTCATGGTTTGTTGAGTGAAGATTTATTATGTAGTCTTCAAAGTTTTATTAATTCTTCCTACACTATAAAGTATTATTTAATACTGCAGTTTAAAGAATAAATTTAGGGCTTAATATTTTCTTTTCATAAAATGAAACTTTGAGCTTCTGTATTTACCCACTAATAATACGAATTTCTTCTCAAGAAAATTATCTTGAAATCTTTAAAAAGATCTCAATAGAATTGTTCCCTGGAATGTGAGCATGTAAATTTAAGTAAACTATGTATACCACTAATGTTTCACATTAGTGGCTGCTGAACATTTCTGTCCCAGAAGTTTTTACACTACTGGCTAACTTATTTTGTGTTTTCTGTCTTTTTTACATTTAGAGAAACCTACATAGAACAAGAACAGGGAGAGAATGCCAATGACAGAAATGATAGAGCCATACGAGTAGCAGCAAAATGGTACAATGACCACCTGAAGAAGATGTCTGCAGAGACTCAGCTACAAGTTATCCTGATAACAAATGACAAGAAGAACAAAGAGAAAGCTGTAGAAGAAGGAATACCAGCTTTCACATGTAAGTCTGAATGTAGACGCTTTTATGGGTGTTTGCAATTGTATATAAAAATTAGGATCGGACCACCATGTTCACATGACACATAATTTCATTATCTGATTTCATGTGATCTTTTCAACACAAATGGTTTTCAATTTTTAATGTGTTCATTATCTGATTTCATGTGATCTTTTCAACACAAATGGTTTTCAATTTTTAATGTGAGTGACTTTTGCTTACATATATGTAGAAGTCAGAAGCAGGTGTTGGAAACCCTGGCACTAGAATAAAGGACAGCTGTGAGCCACCATGAAGGTGCTGGAAACTGAAAGCAGAGCCTCTGCAAAGCAGCAAGTGTTTCTAACTGCTGGGTCATCAGTCTTTTTACATTTTAAATTTCTCAGTGAGCTGATAAGTAGGCAAGTTGTAGATAGTGGCTGTTAGGTTGTTCCTCATTGTTTGCAGTTGATGTAGTAAAAATTGGCGTGTGCTGGAGCCATTGCTTTGTTTCAGTCACCGTCATATAGTTGGCATGGTGTTTGTTTCATTTATTAAAAATGGTAGGTATACGGTCAAAACAGGATTGTCCATGTTTCCTCATGCCCAGATGAAATGCCAGGCCTGAATTTAAACCAGAGCTTACTTTTCAGGTGAAGAGTATGTAAAGAGCCTGACGGCTAACCCTGAACTTACAGATCGTCTTGCCTGCTTGTCTGATGAGATGGTATGTTGCAGTACACTCTGTTTTGAAAAGATGAAAATATAAAAATAGCCATCTTGGGATGTTGGGTTATAGTTACCATATTTAAAATTTAGAACATACCAGTAAACTAGACTAGGAACAGAGTTAGGTTATAAACAAGAAAGTTGTGATTCGCTAATTGGAATGTCATTGCTGAATAAATTGGATTTTTAAAATTGGGCTTGACACCTAGTACCTGTGTGTGTTGAATGAAAAACAATGAAATGAATTCATGGTTCATTTGTGAATAATTTAGTAGTTTGATAAAGTGGCCAACCATGCATACAGCGTGAAGCCTAAAAGGGGGAAGGGAGTCATAAGGAAATACATAATTTTACAGGATGCCCTATAATGGGAAGCTAGAATTCCTTCTGTTGGTCAGTAAGTTTTCAGTCTTTAGTGATGACCTAAGTAAAGGTCTATTATGAAGTGAAATAATAGGATTGAGCTCTGTCCATTAAATGTCAGGCTAACCTAAATAAAGGGTATCTAAGAGTGAACTGGAGGACAGAGCTGTGATCAGAAGGGTAATTATATAGAAGACTGTTCTAATGGCAGTGTAAGACAGCATATTGATTCAGTGCAAAGATTGAAGACTGAGGGATAAGTACACAGTTACTATAACTGACAGTTTGAGAAAGACCATAGGAGAAATTTTTCAGTGTATGTACATACACACATATTTATTAATAACTATACCATTGTTAGATGAATGCAATATAATTTGAAGCATTCATAAAATTCTTGTCTTGTTTGGTACATAGCTACAGTAAATGTAAATGATGACTATTGATCATAAGAATTCACAAACAAAAACTGTGCAGTGATATCAGTCAGGCCCAGAGTCTCAGTGAGCTTCTGTGCAGTTGGAGTAGCTAGTCTGAAGCTGTGGCACCTTTTTTGGTTTTTGAGACAGGGTTTATCTTTGGAGCCATGGCTGTCCTGGTAGCTGCTCTGTAGATCAGGCTGGCCTCAAAATCATAGAGATTCTACTGCCTCTGCCTCCTGAGTGCTGAGATTAAAGCCATGTGCCAGCACCGTCCTTATCAAATATATTTTGAAGCACTTATCTACCACTATAAAAAATAAACAAGACTCAAGTGACTGGGTTTCTTACCTGAGTGCAGGATAGCTGTTGGTACAGAGGTAGCTGTCTATCTAATAGGACGTGATACATGCATCTTTAAATAGTTTTCCCCACATCCTGTCTGTCTTTTGCTACCTACTTTGCAAAACTGAAGAATGCTGGGAGGTACAAGCTGGACTGGCCTTTTGGAATATATGTTCTGGCGTACTCTAATAACTAGTTACTAGTTGTATGTAGCTGATTAAATGTAATTTAAATATAAAATCCATTATACACATTTCAACAGTTGAAGAGATCTGTGCTTAGTGGCTACCATGTTGAACATGAGTGAAAAATTCCACTTTCTTTACAGCAAGTTATTTTAGATAGCAGTGGTCTGGAAAAATGTTCTACTCTGTTCATTTAAACTCAATTGTATAGTTTATAATGTGGATTTTTAAGTTGTATGATACTTGTGGAAAAAGTGTCTTAAATAAACAGACTTTTGATTTGTTTATTTCATAGAATGAAATAGAAAGTGGGAAAATAATATTTTCAGAGCATCTTCCCTTAAGCAAACTCCAACAAGGCATAAAATCTGGTTCATACCTTCAAGGAACATTCAGAGCTAGCAGGGAAAATTACTTAGAAGCTACAGTGTGGATTTATGGAGACAAAGAAGATGACAAAGAGGTAAGTATGTAAATAAATGCCTTTTTTTTGTTTGTTTTAAGGTTAAATTTTTTTTTATTGGATATTTTATTTACATTTCAGATGTTACCCCTTACCCCATTTCCCCCGTCCCCCAGACCCCCTATCCCATCTGCCTTCCTCCTGCTTCTATGAGGATGTGCCCCCCCTCCACCTAGCCCCCCACTCCCACCTCCTCACCCTGGAATTCCCCCACACATGGTGTCCAGCCTTCATGGGACCAAGGATCTCCTCACCTACCTATGCCCGACAAGGCCATCCTCCCCTACATGTACAGCTGGAGCCATGGGTCCCTCCCTAAGTGCTCCCAGGCTGGTGATTTAGATTCTGGGAGCTCTGGTTGATTGGTATTATTGCTCTCTTGATGGGGCAGCAAACCCTTTCAGCTCCTTCAGTCTTATGTCTAACTCCTCCATTGGGAACCCCTTGATCAGTTCAATGGTTAGCTGTGAGCATCGGTCTCTGAATATGTCAGACTCTTGGAGACCTCTAAGGAGACAGCTGTATTAGGCTCCTGTCAACATGTACTTCCTGACTTCCAGATCAGCATCTACCTTTGGTGACTGCACATGCGATGGGTACCCAGGTGGAATAGTCTCCAGATGTCCCCTCCTTCTGTTTCTGTCCCACATTTTGTCTCCATATTTGCTCCCATGAGTATTTGTTACTCCTTCTAAGAAAGACGGAAGCACCCATACTTTGGTCTTCCTTCTTCATGAGCTTCATGTGTCCTGTGAGTTGAATCTTGGGTATTTCAAGCTTCTGGGCTAATATCCAATTATCAGTGAGTGAGTACCATGTGTGTTCTTTTGTGATTGGATTACTTCACTCAGGATATTTTCTAGTTCCATCCATTTGCCTAAGAATTTCTCAAATTGATTGTTTTATTTTTTGTATCCATTCCTCTGTTGAAGGACATTTGGGTTCGTTCCAGCTTCAGGCTGTTATAAATAAGGCTGCTATGAACATAGTGGAACATATGTCCTTGTTATATGTTGGAGCATCTTCTGGGTATATGCCAAGGAGTGGTATAGTTGAGTAATAAATGCCTGTAGATTTGCTGTCCAGTCTCTACTGAGAAAGTTTAGGGCTTAACTGACATCTTCACTAGAACAGTCTTAGTGATATTGGACCAATTGGGTCAGCAGCTTTCTTTGAAGCTGTCCTGGATGCAGAATTTTGAGTGAATAGCATTGAGGCAGTCTGTGGTAGGATCAGGCAGGACACTGGAGTAGATATCCCTCAGTGTTTCAGCATCCCTGAAGGTGAATCCTGTCAGTGCTACATTGACTTCGTTGGTATAAACATGAACATACACAAGTCATACACATTTTTGCAATAACGTATGCATTGACTGTGCTCTGTGTACTGTTTAGTTAAAGGTGACTCCTGGCTCTCGGTTTGAGATAGTAAGGCACCTGGCTTTCTCTATAAGTTAGTTTGGATTGTATAACCAACCTGTAATAAAATTTTTATCTGTATCATTTAAAAGGATGGGACAATTAAGTCTGGAGGATTCTGTAGCCAGCAAGATTAATTGACTGTGCATAGCTGAAGTTCTAGCTGGAAACATTTGCATCTCAACCAGTCTCAGAGCTGTTCCCATGTAAAGGATCAGTATGTACTTCACCTGTTTTGTTCTTCTTCATTTCTTTTTTGCCTGCAGTCAGGATCTTCAGGGGGTCTTCTTCTGTCAAATCTTATTTTTATCAATTTGATGGAATCAACGTTTTCTCTCCTGTTGAAACAAAGGCAAAATCTTCTCTCCAGTGCAACACATTTTCTGCTTTCCATTCTGAGGTTATCACATATTCAGTCCTTTCCAAACTCGAGTGCTTTTCAGCAACTGTGCTATCTGTCTCATTGATATTTAAAACTTTGTCAGTAAAGCATTATTTAATCTATATTTGGGAGATTCCATGTCCCCCTTCTGTTTTATGAGCATGTCTCCAAAGTCCTGTTAGATCTCTCCCCAATTATTTGACCTGTCGGATTGTCTCCTTATCAACGTCTGTTTTATTCTGATCTTTCTAAAAAAGGATATATAAAATTGTAATTGTTACTGAACATGTTATTTACATGCTGATAAGTGAAGCAAAATGTGAGATCCAGATATATTGTTTCATTGTGCTTTCCGTTTTAACATAGGAAATATTTTTCTTTTAGTCTCTCTTTTTTTAAAATTTTAAATCCTCCCATCTTTTATCTCTTAACTCTCACCTTAAGGACTTAATTTTCTTATTTTTAAACTACTTTTTTTTTTATGACTGTCTATACCCAGTTTCTTTTTTTTTTCTTTAGTACTTAAGCATATTTTAGTACATATTGTACCTGTTCAGAAGGTTTTCTCAGTTTGGGACTGGCTTCCATTTCCTGTAGCCATTCTCTGGTGTATATGCCAAGCCTTAAAGGGCCAACCCTCCCAGACAAGGAGGGACACTCTGAGCTGTTTGTTTTTCAGCTTCTCAGTGGTATCTGCCAACCTCCCTGTAGTGACTAGCCCAAGAAACCATGGTCCCCACCCTGTGAGTGTCTGGACTTGGAGGGAGTTTGCCATGTAGCTCTGGCATGAGTCTCCTAAGCCAGCTGCTAACAGGCCCGTTCAAGTACTAGGCAGCCTACCAGCCTTGTTGCACAGCATGGCCTCTAAAGGAGCTACACTAGGCCTCTCTCTGGTTTCCCACTCCCAGCTAGTTAGGAAACAACCTTCTACCAAGGACTTCTCAGACTCTGAGCCCCACATTCAGTGCGCCATTTCTAACCAAGGGCTTTTCACCCACCCACGCCCAAGTTCCTTGAAGTAACCACTCTGAGACTTGATTATGAATAAATGCCTAGGCATAAAGCTTTGGCTTGTTCCACTAGTTTGTAACTTAATGAACCTGGTTATTCTATGTGTTGCCACGTGGTTGGTTATCTCTTCTCAATTTTGTGCATCTGTCTTCATCAGTGTTTAGGTTGACTCTCTCTTCTATGCCTGACTCTATCCCAGAATCTCCTTTCTATGCTTTCTGGAACTCCTCCCCCCACCCCCACCCCTATGTTGCACAAGAGATTCTCTTTGTGTGTGTACATTTGTGTGTGTATATGTGCATACATATGCTTGTGAATAATGTGTAGAGGTCAGAAAACAGCTTGTACAGTAGTGGTTCTCTCTTTCCACAGACTGGGTCACAGGAATTGAATTAGTCCAAGCCAAGATTTACTATGGAGCCATCTTACTAGCCCGTCTGTAAATTTTTTATACACTAAAATACCTTGAGCTGATTGAAATTTTTATATGAGAATTTATATTGCCCCACACTTTTCTTCTCTTTTCTTTTCTTTTATTTTATTTTATGTTTGGTCTTTTAAAGATAGGGTTTCTATGTGCAACCCTGACTGTTCTGGAATTCCCTTTGTAGACCAGGCTGGCCTCGAACTCACAGAGATTTGTCTACCTCTGCCTTCCTAGTGCTGGGATAAAGATATTCACCACCATCGCCTGGCTTTCACTTTTTAGTTTTAGTTCATGTGTGTATGTATGTACATGTGAGTGTAGAGACAGAGGACAGCCTCAGTTGATAGCCTTAGAAGTGTGGCCTATTTCCTGGAAAATAGGCTTTCTTTTGACCTAGAGCTTACCAGTTAAGCTGGACTGGCTGCCCAGTCAGCTCTAGAGATGTTGCTGTCTCTACTTACGTAGGACTGAATGGCAGGCATGGGCCACCATGCCCAGGATTGTATGTGGTCTGTGGGCTTCAGTGCAGATCTGCGTGCTTGCAGGCAACACATGACACAGCCAATTCTCAGGCTTACCTTCTGTTTCTGGTTGGTAAGAAAGGACTAAACACTCGTACAGTAATGACTTTTCATGAGACCAATTGTCTCAGAAATTTCTAGGAACTCACTTTTAAAGGGACTCATCAAGTATCATAAACTGAGATATTTCTGTTTTATGTGTCTACTTTTAATAAATACGATTTGCACAACAAAAAGAGCTTCACAAACACATGATAGCAGGTAGCCTTTAGAGTGTGTGCTATTCATCAAGTTCATCTAACTTCTGACTTGGAGCCTTTTACTTAGTCTCCAACCCAATCAATGAAAGTTGTGTTTTCATTTTTACCAACCAAGAGATTGAGATTGAAATAATTTGGTTTTCTGAACTGTTTTATAGCCATTGTTTATGGTGGAGTCATAGACAAAAATCCACATATTTCCTGAATTGTTTTTCTTATTAAAATTTAAAAATTAAGATTACGAAATGAAGAGTAGTATTTTTAATTTTGAGACTGACTATGTTGTGTATATATGATGTGGAGTGTGAGTTGGGAGTATGATGTGAAATACAGGACATCTTTCAGGTCTCCTTCCACTATGGGCTCTGGGACCAAATTCAGATCAACTAAGTTCGTTTAGCATTCACGTTTACCCAGCAAACCTAACTCAGATGATTATTTTAAAATAGGAAAAAACATGGAGAAATGTATATTAAATATAATAATTAGACTATAGCCTTATATTAGATAACTTTCATTATTCTCCTTCAATCTCTTTCAATGCATGCCACTTACTGTTTTACACAGATACTTATACAGGGACTTAAACATCTAAACAGAGCTGTTCATGAAGACATTGTGGCTGTGGAGCTACTGCCCAGGAGTCAGTGGGTGGCTCCGTCCTCTGTGGTTTTACACGATGAAGGTCGAAATGAAGACGATGTGGAGAAAGATGAGGAGAGGGAACTCCTGGTATGAGAGAAAGCAAGTCTTGTACTGTTTAACATGCCATTGTTTTTATATTTATTGAGTAAAACCATAGTTCTGAATTTTTAAAAAGTTGTATTCATTTTTATATGTATGGGTATTTTGCCTGCATGTGTGTCTGTGCAACATGAGTGTGCATTGTCTGCAGAAGCCAGAAAAGGGTGTCAGATCACCTAGAATTAGAATTACTGACAGTTGTGAGCAGTCAGTGCTCTTAACTACTGAGCCATCTCTCCCAAGTTCTGTACTTTTAATTTTATTACAAGTTATGTACATAGTTGATTTCTGTTTTAACTACACAAATTTGTGTTCTTTTAATGACATTATACTTAAATGAGTTTAAGTATTTCAAATTGTGAATCAAATGGAAATCTGTTACACTCTGTATATGATTTGAATTAATGCAATTTAAGGAAATAGAAATGTAGAATTTTCTGAACATTTTTTGCAATGTTAAAATAATTTTAGAAACTATTTCTGGATCTTTGTATTTAACATGCTTAATTATCTTGTTTCTACTAATGTCTTTATTGAGAAGAGTGAGTTGTTTCTTATGCGTTACTGCATCTTCCAGAAATGACCTGTTTACCCATTTTCTGAGGATAACACAGGTCTAGCAGATGCTGTTCTTGTTTTCATTAGGTACAGTGAATTTCTTGAAGTCTGACTGTAGCATTCTTGCAGAATATAATCCTTTGGAATTGTTAGAGGTCTAATATTATAGGGTCTATTTTTAGTGGTTAACATTTTTTATTTCACTTTTAACTTGTGATAAGATAGAACTGTTAAAGATATATTTACTTTGTAAAGGATTTCATACATGTTCTCCATAATAACTACATAGCTAACTAATTATTAACTAATCCCTAGACACTGTTTTGTCAGGAAATCCTCACATTATCTTTGAAAACACTGAGTTCTGTCACATTTATTCACCTATGCACATCTTGACATCATTTATGGAGTGCTTTATTATCATGGAACAATTAGCATTGTTCAGTTGGTTTGCTTGTGTCTAGAACTTTGAAGCATAAAGGTTCTAAATTTCATGTCGTTGTTTGCTACCTGATCGTATTAGTGTCCATATGCATATTCCAATTTGGAAGAAAAATGACTTCATTTTACATAGAACAAATATAACTGAAGATTTTTGTTTTTACATTTCAGCTTAAGACTGCTGTAAGTGAAAAAATGTTAAGGCCTACAGGTAGAGTCGTGGGGATAATCAAAAGGAACTGGAGACCATACTGTGGCATGCTTTCCAAGTCTGAGATTAAGGAGGTACGTAAAGCACTTGGCATCACTACTGAAAACTGGTCATCACTGACTAGAATTCAAAGCTCACCCTTTATCCCCTTTTCCAGATTTGGTGTAAATATAAATTGTTTTCCTAAGTTAGGGATATAACTCAATGGTAGTGTACTTGTATAGCGTGTGCTAGGACCTATGATTGATCCCAGGACCGTGATTCTTTTTTTAATTTTCTCTAGTCAAGAAGACATCTCTTTACACCTGCTGATAAGAGAATTCCACGAATTCGGATAGAAACCAGACAGGCTTCTGCGTTAGAAGGACGGAGAATTATTGTCGCCATTGACGGTTGGCCCAGAAGTTCTAGATATCCAAATGTAAACTTAAAATATTAAATCTTTGTGTATTTACTTAAAATTTGTAACTAATATTGTTGATTTTTAGTGAAAATATGGTACTTACATGTACACAAGTATTTCATGATTACCTAGTCGTAGCATAGATGAATTTTATCTAATTCCAGTATAAGTCATCTGGCTACTTTTTCTCAAATTGCCATAAAACCTTTACTGATAAACTTTATGGAAGAAGAATGTGAGTCAAATAAATTTTAATCAAATTTTGAAGCTATTGCTTTTAAAGTGTATGTTACCTTGAAGGTTAGCAGGAACTAAACGAGCGTTGTGGTCTAAGAATCAGGCCTGCAAGGGCAGTTAAAAGTCTTGTTATTTTTCACTAGAAATTTTTTGATTCACTACAGGGTTTTTTGCTTGCTTGTTCATTTGTTTTTATGTGTATGGGCATTTTGTCTGTGTACCACAGTATATGCCTGGTGCCTAGGGAGGCCAGCAGGGGCTGTCAGTCCTGGAGCTGCAGTAACATCATTGTGAGCCTTCATGTGGGTGCCAGGGGATAAACCTGGGTCCTCTGCAAGAGTAACAGTGTTCCTAACCACTCAGCCTTCTCTCCACCCCCAAAGAGTTGTTTTAATATGTAAGAGAAAAAGGTAGAAGTGCTGAGCTGATAGATAGGTAAAGGGATGGGAGATTGAGTACAATGAAATATGAATTAGATGAAAAGTGTGCCTTTCTGATAATACCTTTCCATTTCAGGGACACTTTGTAAAAAATTTAGGTGATGTTGGAGAGAAAGAGACGGAAACTGAAGTTTTGCTGCTTGAGCATGACGTTCCTCATCAGCCCTTTTCCCAGGCTGTTCTTAGCTTCCTGCCCAAGATGCCCTGGAGCATTACTGAGCAGGTGAGCTGAAGACAGGTCACAGTGACTTTACACATGATGTCATGTTTGTATTGGTGATTGAACCTGGGGCCTTCTGCAAGTTAGTCAAGCACTCTACCAATGGAGTACATTCTTAACCCAACTTACATTTTGGTTTTTCTTTACAGTTGGGTTTTACTAAGTTACACAGTCAGCCTTGGCTCTTTGTCCTGTCTTAGACTCCTGAATATCTAGGATCCAGACCATGATGTAGTTTAATTTCTGTCTGTTTTTAAATAATGTAGAAACCATGGCTTCTTTTTCACATTTAGTTAGTTACAGCATTGTTGGGTGTCTACTGTTCTGAAGGTAGTGGAACCTTGGAGAATGGAGCCTAAAAATGAGGCAGACTAAAGTCTTACGCAATAGCCAGCTTTATTCAGAGCATCAGACAGTTTCTACTCTGAGGGTTAAATAGAGGTAAATGAGTAAGGTGTATAGTTACATGGATGAGCCACATGTGTCAAAAACATGTTCTTCCGAAGAGGCATATAAGCAAATAACAGCAGCCAGCTGCGATGAAGAATCGAAACTCACTCCTACCTTCTACAACTGGGAGGAGCACAGAAGTATGGTCCAAGAACAGGCTCATGTTTCTAAAGAAATGAAGTCACAAAACTCTGGTTTTCCTGCCGTTTTCTCATCGGCACTCAGAATTCTCACTCAACTCTCTTCTTGGGTGCTACACAAACCATTTCCTCTTTTTCACGGAAAGTGATGTCTCCAGGCTGTAGACTTAGGAGCATAGAACACGTTTCTCTATAACATGGAAAGCTAACTTATTTTTATGGAAATATTTGTTTCCCAAGAGAGTGGTGTTGCTATTGTATTCCTCCAGGTTTTCTGTTGTTGTTTTTTCTTTTTAACATGGTATTTTCTAGGACATGAAAAACCGAGAAGATCTGAGACATCTGTGTGTTTGCAGTGTGGACCCTCCAGGATGTACTGACATAGATGATGCCCTGCATTGTAGAGAACTCAGTAATGGAAACTTGGAGGTACTGATACCGTCTCTACACTCTTAGCTAACGGGATTCAGTTCTAGGGTTCATTGGTTTTTGATCCAGGACAGACTATAAAAGTATAGCTGTAAAAACCAATAGTTGTGTGTCAGAGTTGAATTAGTAGCTGAGTCCATTTTCCATTTAGCTGCATTTCTTCTGATCTAAATCCCATTGTGTAAGTCTACTATTGGGCAGAGTGACATCTTTTATCTTTTTAGGTTGGTGTTCATATTGCGGATGTTAGCCATTTTATCAGGCCAGGAAATGCGTTGGATCAAGAATCAGCAAGAAGAGGAACAACTGTTTATCTTTGTGAAAAGGTAAATGTATTAACTTTCAAATCTTATACTGATCATAGCACTATGCATTTTGTTTTGTTTTGATGGGCATGGGGTCAAAGTCTTGGTCATGTATAGGTCAGGACGGCCTCAAACTTTTGATTTTCCTGCCTCAGCGTCCTGAAGGCCAAGCCAGGAACTTTTGGTTTCATGAGCAATCACAGTCTAAAGTAAATACATGATATATTTATCTAAAAGAAATGCATGGGTGAAGGTGTCCTAAATCACAGAGAATATTTCATTTTATGGCCTGAGGCAGTGGCTCAGTTGGTGAAATACCTGGCACCCAAGCATGAGAACCTGAGTTCAGTTTCTGACAGCCAAATGGAAACTGCACCACATCTGCAGTCCTAGCACTGGTGGGTGGAAGCAGAATCCCTGAAGATCATTGACCAGCATAGGCAAATCAGTGAAGTCCAGGTTCCTTGAGGCTCTATCTCAGAAAACTACAGTGGATGTCATCAAGGAATGCCTGATGTTAACCTCAGGCCTCTGCATATATGAACATGTACATGTGCCACACTCAAACACAAAACAAGAATTGTAATTTGTTACCTAGTGATCCAAACAACATTTAAATGGAGTTGACATGAATTACTTTCTTGAAGTATGATTTGGGGGGCAGGGAGAGCCACTGAGTGTACACAAGTATACTATAAAACTCAAAATTTTATTTTTTTTTTCCTTTGACTTTCAAGTATATTTTAAGCACTGTAGTTTTGGTTTAGGAGTGGGAAAATCTCGGTTGGTAAGGGTTTGTAAGTTACCAGGTACCAACTTACACAGACCAGAAATTTCAGATTTTGACAGGACAGATAGAGGGACTGAAATCTCAATGCACTGGCACAAATGCCACCCTTACTGCCTTCTGTAACAATTTTGTCTCTTTTCCTACAGTCTTTATTATTTTCTTAATTCTCTAGTCAAAATGACCAGAACAGACCCTGCCCCCTTCTGTTCTCCTGATGCTATTTGCAAGTGGAAACTAACTGTGACTGTGCCTAAGTAACTGAGGTTTGTTGTCCTCTCTTCCAGAGGATTGACATGGTTCCAGAGTTGCTTAGTTCAAACCTCTGTTCCTTAAGATCCAACGTTGACAGGTATTTCTGCATTATTTTTGATAAGAGTGACTTGTTAACTATGTTAATTGATTCCCATAAACCAATACCATCTCTTTTTCCCTGAAGGTTGGCATTTTCCTGTATTTGGGAAATGAATCATAATGCTGAAATATTAAAAACGAGATTTACCAAAAGTGTCATTAATTCAAAGGTTAGTGTTATGATTCATTTCTGACATTTCAAATTTTTTGTGCTCTTAACATTTCTCAGATACTTTTGAAAAAGTTAAATTCTATAAAATTAAATTTTTCAGTGTTAATAGTAGTCCCTAGTTTGTTTCAAAATTTAAAATTTGCTTAATTATTGATGTTATCCAGAAGTTACTTTATGTAGTAATTGTCCTGTATTCAGGAACTTAGAGCCCACACATCTCAACTGAAGAGCTTTAGGATGTAACTCATTAATCATAGTAATTGAGATTATTTGTAGTTAAAAATATTACTGCTTAAAAAATTAGCATGTGTATCATGGATAACATAAATTATAGTTAGATTCCAATAGAGCTAACCTGAAATTATAGTCAACAGAATAGAGCAAGACTTTTCTTATTTTTGTACTTCTCCTCTCCCCATATTCTCTTAGTCATCCTCATCTTGTGCTAAGTAGTTCTCCTGTGTACGCCAGACGTTTTTCTTGTAACGACATTTTCAATCAGTTTTCTAGTTCCAAGTTGTATCACTCTGTTCTGATGACCAGTAGAAACTTCTGTTAACCAGCAAATGATGTGGGAATGATTTTAACCTTAGAGATTCATATTTTTAGAGTATTTCGAGGCAGTGATCCTCTGAACAATACTTTTCTGTTGTTGGTTTATCAAGACAGGGTTTGGATGTGTGTAGCCAAAAGAGATCTGCCTGCCTCTCTCCCTCATGTGCTGGGATTAAAGGCATGTGCTACCACCAACCTGGTGACATAGTTGTTTTAACAAAATTATATGAATTAAAATTAAAAATTAGTGAACATATAAACATTTTTCCGGAAAGAGAATTCTTAGCCCTTAGTAGATAGATAAAGGTACTCTGAGAAACTTCACTTAGCCTATATTAAGTTATTCCTTTAAATGGTTTCTGAATTTTAATTATAAAGCTACCTTTATCTTTTAATATCCTTCCACCTGGACAGAAATAGGAGCAGAAGCAACTATTTCCATATTTGGACTATCTGTTAGAGATTGCTCTGAACTTTTATCATTTTTACCCCATTTTGGGTTCTGTTTTGTTGGTTAGTATCCTGTAAAATACTTCTAGCCTCTCCTTATTTGCTAGAGTAGGGGAGTAATAATCCTTTGGAAAGGATTTTTGAGAATAGCCTGAACCTGCCTTGTGTTTTATTCTAATATTCTTAAAGATATACTGGTTTAAATGAGGAAGTATTAGAAAAACTGCCATTTTCCTTTATTTTAATGGAAATAGAGCTCATTTTATATAATGATTGCTTGAGTTAAGCAAACTAGAAATCATAGGTGTAAATTTATTTAAGTATTGCTATAGATATGTCTTGTTACTTATTTTGGGCTTCCTGAAAGCATGGATATGTGTGTAGTGGGAATATGAGGTAAAATAATACACTTTAGAGGTACAGAGTATAAAAACAGCTTGCTGTACAAGCCTAATACCCAAGCTAGGATTTCCAGAACTCACGTAGAACTGGATATTGTGGTGTTCATATCTAATCCCAGTGTACTCCTGTAAGGACTTAGGAGGCAGGGGCAGAGACACAGAACCACCACTGGCCCAGCTATCCTGGATTATCAAGCAGTGAACATGAGAGACTTTGTCTTGAACCAGGAAGGGGGAGAAACTCTGACCACCGTATGTTCATGTGTGGCCCCGTACTAACATAGGAATACACAATCATACACAAAGTATGGGTCAAACAGGAAAAGTATTTTTATCAGCCATGAGAATTATATTAACCTGAGGTTTCTTTCTTAGGCTTCTCTTACATATGCTGAAGCACAGATGAGAATTGATTCAACGGCTATGAATGATGATATTACCACTAGTCTCCGTGGACTAAATAAACTAGCTAAAATTCTAAAAAGGGGAAGGATTGAAAAGGGGTATGTTCTAAAAATATCTATTAATACATGCTTTAATCAGTTCTGATGTTGAGCTAACATTTGGTTTCTTTAGTGTATTTTGTTAGAACGGTGGTTAATTAGCTGGTAGACTATACTTAATAGATTTGTATCATGGCCGTTTGCCTGACCATAATAGGCATAGAGGAGTGGCAGCTCAAACTTGTTGGAAAGAAGGCAGTTCAAAGGAGAGGCAGCCTTGAAAGACTGCTGTAAGAGGAAACCACATACGAGAGCCTTTCAGAGGTTGCTCCCTAGGTTTTGCCACCAGCAGTTGAGAACAAAGGTTTTTCTGGCGATGCAAATGCTGCCTCTGGAGTCCTCCTACAGTGCCTAACATGAATTCCTGAGTATTAGCTAGCCACAGACAATGCTAAGCAGCCATGTGTGGTCAGTGACTACCATAGTTGAATGATTAAATACGAAATTTAAAAGTCTTTACAGATTAGGTATTTGCATGAGAACAGAGTTATCAAACTAGAGTAAAGATGCTACTCAGCTTAAGTATAAGGTTAACATTGGTTTTTTAACTTCTCTATGATTCTCCAACCTTATTAAAATTATTTCCAGCCTAGTGACACATTTCTTTAATCCGTGCAGTCAAGAGGCAGAGAGGCAAGTGGATGTTTAATTTCTCTTCTAGGCCAGCCTGCTCTAAATTACTAGTCCGAGCCTAACCAAAGCTAAAAGTAGGCCCCTGTTTCAAAAAACTGAAAGAACAAAACCAAAAACCAACAACCAACAACCAGGCTTTCAGGTTGATTTGGAACTTGATGAAAGTAGCACCACATCTGAAGACACCTTAGTGTGTGACCTTGTGAACTTTTCGAAGGAGAACTAGTCATTAAGAACCACACATAACCTTAGTATAGTCTATTCTCAGAGCTACAGCAGTCTCATCAGCACAGCCATCAGTCCTTACGATGTTTCAGTGGTAGTTGTTTGAGACGTCTCCGTGTGGTTGCCTATGCACCTTCTCTGACTAGCCTGTGTAAGCTGCTCTGGGCCTCTCTGTCATTGCCCATCACAATACTTTGTTTGCCATAGAAAATGGCGTATTGGCAGTTTCCTATTCTTAGCTGCTTTAAACAGAATGGTTGCAGATTTATGTAGCTTAATAAAAACATAAGTTAGGCTTTATATTAAAATTGAACATAAAACTTTGTAGATGGTCATAAAGCTTTCCTAAGAAAAACTCTCCACTACTCGCACACTCCTTTTCTGTTTGACAGGATTCCCTGTAGAATCCTCTGTCCTCTGTCCTGGGCTCTGTTGACTCCTTTCTCTCCTTTTCACTCAGGGCTCTGACTCTGTCTTCTCCAGAAATCCGATTCCACATGGACAGTGAAACGCATGACCCAATCGACCTGCAGACCAAGGAGCTGAGGTATGGGACATTTTACAGATGGATATTAAATATTACATTTAAATGTAATGTCTCCTGTAGACACTAATCACCAGAGGATCCATTTATGGCTAAAACAGTTGTTACGGTTAGAATCTCTATGAAGTAAAGATGATCTTACTTTCTTAGCTTTTCTCATATAAAGTTGAGTTAGGATACTAGAAAGAGTTCAGATTTGCCTTGATTTACTTTAAGACTTCGAGTTAGTTATAGAACAAAGCGATTGCAGTGATTAATTTCTTAAGTATGTAATGTATACACAGAGATACGAAGGGAGCACAGCTTTGCATCTGAAGGGTTGGTTAAGTTGCTGCTGTTTTGAGAGGACCCAAGGGTTTTTCCCAGCTTGCACCTTCACACACACACATCTGCAACATGCACATAATTTAAAAAATAAGTCTTAAAATGTAAAGTTTTTGAAGCTAAATTCTTAACTTTGAATTTACTGCTACTGTTTATATAACTTAAAGAAATTGAGATCAGTCATTGGATTTTCTTATATGGAAAGCTTCCTAATACTTTAAAAGTTTAATTTAGAAATGTTGTCAAGAAATGGTTTATTTTAATAATTAAAATATGATTGAAAATTAATTCTGTATATTCAGTGATTCTAGAGAAAGGAAACCATAGATACAGCTTGCAGATCATTTATTAAACTAACTTAGAACTTAGGATAAAAGTTGCATCAGATTGTTTTAAGAATTGAGAAATGACGTCATGCTGAATCCAAGTTTTGATGCTCCTGTTAAAAATGATCTTATGAGAGAATAATGCACATCTGTCACTTAGGAATCAGTTGTGTCTGTTGTTTGTGTGTGTTGTATTTATACATGCATTTACAATACAATGCTCACCAGAGATAAGTATCCACATTAGCTATTGAGAATCGATTAGTGATTTATTGCTAAAAATGTGGGAGGCTGAGACAATATGTGTGAACTAGCTTTTAATTCTCCTGGGAAAGCTTATTTTCATAGTTCTTTTTTGTAAGAGAAGGTAAAAATATTGGCTTTATATTTATGTTAATAAAGTAGTAAATCTTCCCTTTTTTTCCCTTGAGTACAATTTGAAAAGATCCTAGCATCCTAGAGTTGTTCAGGAGAGACAGAATTAATATACTGTTAGAACACAAGCTGAGACAGTAAAGACACGGTAAGGGATTAAAAATAGATAGGCGTTACACGTTAATGTTTTTGCATAGGGAGTGTTTTCATTATCACGAGAAATGCTAGCTTGTGAATAAATGTGATAACTATCTTAGCTTCTCTTTCCTTACTTAATGATTTTCCTGACTGACAGAGAAACAAATTCCATGGTGGAAGAATTTATGTTACTCGCTAATATTTCTGTTGCAAAAAAGATTCATGAAGAGTTTTCTGAACATGCTCTGCTTCGAAAACATCCAGCTCCTCCTCCCTCCAACTATGAAGTTCTTGTTAAGGCAGCTAAGTCCAAGGTAAAGATTGAAAAGTAATATGTATTTGTATTGTAGTCTTTGTATTATACTGAAAAAATTAATATTCATGTTTTTATAAAATTTCAATTGCTCTAAAATAAACTTGTTCTCATATATATATAAAAATGTGACCTGGGGTAAGGACATCTCTTCCTACATACACATTGACATCAGCTACATCCTGAAATCCGTTATGTTCCAGTTCTAAAGGCAAATGATTTAAACTAAGTTATTTACAGTATCTTAGACAAAGTGTGCTCTTCGATCTCTTTATACAAGGTGTCCTGGCCAGTTTTTTGTTAACTTGACACAAGCTAGAGTCATCTGAGAGGTTGGAACCTCAGGTGAGAAGATGTCTCCATAAGATTGGCCTGTTGGCAAGACTTAAGGGCGTTTTCGTTAAGCTCATTGTCTGACTACTAGGCATCCTTCTTCCCTTTCTCTTTCTTTCCTTTCATCATACTTAGGCTTGGCATGACCTAGCTTACTTTGATTTTCCTCGGATCTTGTTTAGGCCCTTTTGTTCTATTGAGCGCATGTAATGAATAGCATTGGCTCCCTGGACGTTACTCGAATAGTATGGTATGGGTGTCTGGGTTTATAGTGCACTTAGTACATCTTTATCCACCAGGAACTGCCCCGGCTCCCAGCTCCCCTGGTTACTGTACATTGGGGAATTTTCTGTGTTGTAGTATCTCTTACTAAGACGTGGGTAAGAAGGGAGGAGGCAGGATTTCCCTGGAAGCTGGAATATAGCTTGAGCTTGATGGACACAGCCCTGTGTGGCTGCCCCACCGTGTCACTTGTCTGCACTTCTACTTTCAGTGAAGGAGTGAAGAAGAAGCCAGACAGACTGAAACGTGTCTGGAGCTGCTTTATTTCCTTCCCCACTTAGAGATAAGCAAGCATACATTGGGGTCTGAAAAAGAAATGGCATGTCCTCCTTTCCCTTGGAAAGTTTCCAAAATCTTGATACTTTCAAATGCATTCAGGGTTTTTAAAGCTTTAATACTATACAAACAATCCTTATTTATTTTAAAGTTATTTTTAGTGCCCCTGGTTATCCGATAAAATGTGTAAGTTGATACTATGTGTATACAAACACTATGTATTTGGTCTGTTCATACTTTAAAGATAGGACACTAGTTCTGGCTGTGGATGCTAGTGTGTGCCGTTAATTCGAGTGCTTGGGAGACAGGCAGGCCAATCTCTGTGGGTTCCAGGCCATCCTAGGCTACACAGTGACAGAGTCTCTAAGAGAGACAGAGGGGGACAGCGGGGAGGAGGGAAGAGAGAGGGAGGCTACTACTGATTTTGAATTGTTTCATTTGGTGCTTCTCTCCCTTTTATTGACAGAATTTGGAGATTAAGACTGATACAGCCAAATCTTTGGCTGACTCTTTGGACCGGGCAGAATCTCCTGATTTCCCCTACCTGAATACTCTATTAAGGATCTTGGCCACTCGCTGTATGATGCAAGCTGTCTACTTCTGTTCTGGGATGGATAATGACTTTCGTCACTATGGCCTGGCCTCCCCAATATACACACATTTCACATCTCCTATCCGAAGGTACTGGTTTTTCCATACAAAAGGAAAACACATTTTTTAAAAAAAGGTTAATTTTTAATTAAAAATTTTAAAACTAATTTGCCATCATTCTTATTTCATCCTCTGTATGTAGATATGCAGACATAATTGTTCATCGGCTGTTAGCTGTGGCGATTGGGGCTGATTGTACTTATCCAGAGTTGACAGACAAACACAAGCTTTCAGATATATGTAAAAACCTCAATTTCCGGCATAAAATGGCTCAGTATGCCCAGCGGGCATCAGTTGCTTTTCATACGCAGGTATTTGTTTTTTTTCTGTAGTGTTGAGGGTGAGAAATTTTGTTCATTTTGTATTGAATTTCAAAATAAGACTTCTAACAAGATTGTATGTTATTTTACAGTTGTTTTTCAAAAGCAAAGGAATAGTAAGCGAAGAAGCCTATATTCTCTTTGTAAGAAAAAATGCAATTGTGGTGTTAATTCCAAAGTATGGCTTAGAAGGTACAGTTTTTTTTGAAGAAAAAGATAAACCAAAGCCACGCCTTACTTACGATGATGAGGTAAGGTATTGCTGAGCTTCATGTCCTTTTAAACTGGGGAGTAGTTAATATTTAACATTTAAATTACTTTGGAATGTTAACCAGAAATAGACATGAGATTCAAGTTTAAGAAAAAAATGTCAATTTTTCTTTTTTCAAGATACCTTCACTCAGAATAGAAGGTACAGTGTTCCATGTGTTTGATAAAGTTAAAGTGAAAATCACATTAGATTCATCAAATCTTCAACATCAGAAAATCCGAATGGCCCTTGTAGAACCACAGGTGAGACCAAATTTAATGGTATGGAAAAATTAACGTATTTTGAGTGACCGAGTTTTCAAGTAATGTTAAGATCCTAGGTATTCCAAGTACTTCCATAGCAATCCTACTTTCCATTTGACCCACACCAGTGGATTCCAGGCATCGGATTCTAGAGGACCTCAAAGCTAACATCTAAGACTCTTCAGTTCTTTTGCTTATTCCTTTACTCTAGTTTTAGAATAGACAAGTATGGAGGCTTCACCTAAAAGGCTGTTTTTGCTCATTTTGTTTTGTGTTTTTGAGGCAGTTTCTCTTTGTGTAGCTCAGGCTGTCCTGGAACTTGCTATGCACCTTTAACTCAGATATGACTGCCTCTGTTTCCCGAGTGCTGGGATTTAAGGTGTGTGCTTCTAAGCCTGGCTAAGATCCTGGTTTTAAGCTTTTGGTGCTTGTTGTCCACCTTTACAGTAAGTTGGACATGAGGAAGATCTGTTGTTACATTATAAACACATTGCCCAAATTGAAGCTTCTCAGTTGTCTTGCTATGCATACAAGGCTATCCTTGAATTTGCAGTGATCGTCCTACCTATTTTCCCTAAGTACTGAGATTGTGTGTACTTCCATTCACTGTGAAAAGCTTCTGAGACCCTTGGCATGGTTACGCTGGTGTATAGTTGTGGATGTTGCACTGGAAAATGTGTTTAAAGTTGAAAGTGGCAGTAGTAAAGGGGGGAAGGTGAGATAAGTTATTTCTTATTGGATGCTTCTAATCGTGTGATTTTTTCCCCCCATTTACACTTGTTTAGATACCAGGAGTAAATATTCCTTCTGATGTCTCAGATACGGATCTTAATGGACCAGGAGGAAAGAAGAGAAAACTTGACAAGTAGCTCATCGACAGAAAACCTCAACACTGGCCGCCTTGACAACAGCAGCAAAACTGAAACCACACTTACATGCTCCTGCGTGATAGCTACTTTTAAATACATTTCAATAATTTTAAGGAATTTGCATTTTTATTGAGTTGCTGACTGAATCTATCTTATATTGTGCTTCTGCAACAACAGAAATTATGCAGAAAAGTTCACTGGAATATCCATCACATAAATGGTGACAGTAACAACGTCAGAGATCTGTGATGATCATTTAGGAGTATTCATCTTCTCATTGAAGAACGGATTAATATTATCTAAGTACTTTAATATAAAAAGAACCTATCAATTTCTGAGGAAAATAACATTTTAGAAGCAAAGAACAAGCCTTTCTAAATCTAGCTGTCAGTGTTTGGCATTTAATCTTTTTGCCATTTTAATTTGCCTACTTAACATTGAGTTCATATATTTTGATAAGACTCTTGTACTTCCCAGTGGTCCTCAAACAGTCGTGAATGTTTCAGGATTATAGGAAAATAAGACCTGGAGTATCTTCATCTGATTTGAAACTCTGATTTTTGTTAACAGGTGTTAAGTTCAGTCATCATCCCTAATCTTTGTTGCCAATATTTCTCCCCAACAAGGCATTACAGAGAAAGGAGAAAGGTGGTACTTTAAATGTCTGCTTATTTATAAAAACAGATAATGGCTTATGAATTGTAATTATATCCAATTATATAGGCGGGGAGGGATTATAGTAAAGCCATATTAAAAGGAACAAATGAAGTCTCATTTGGTATGCCAGATTGCACTTGCCTTACAAATCTCAGATTAATGATTACATTGGTATTTAGGAATACTTTAACATTCAACTTTGCTTACTCTGTTTCCAGTCAAGGAGACTAGTTCACAGCAAAAATGAGCTGACAAAGCCTCGTTACTATGGAAAAATCTCTACATAAAGACAGACTTGATGTATCTAAAGTAAGACAATCTTCTTACAAAGTGTTTGGTCCAAATAAAATGGATCAGTGCCTGAGACTAGAGCAGGAGGCTGCAAACCTGTTTGTAAAGGCCACAGCATTTCAGATGTGGCTGAACTCTAGCTGTAATTGTACTTTATAAGCATCTAGACAATACATAAACAAGTATGGTTATATTCTTGGAAACCAACCATTTACCTAAGGATACAAGTTTCAATTTTATGTATAATGTAGATTTTTGCTGTTGAGTTGGGCGTATAGCATGCAGCTTAGTGGTGTAACTATTGCCTAGTGTATAATAGACTTGGATTTGATCTGACTTTTGCAAAACACAAGACAGTTCTTTACACTGGAAAGATGGCTCAGCAGTTAAGAGCAAGCAAGCACTGGCTACTATTCTTCCAGAGAATCTAATTTTGATTCTTGGCACTGACATGATGGCTGTTAGTCAGCTATAACATTCTGGTTCCAGGAGTTTCAATACATGCTGTTCTCAGTTGTTTTTCCACATTAATTTTTTGAAACAGGATTTTTCACTGAACTTGGGAGCTTGTCATTTCAGCTAGACCTGTTAGAATCAACCAGTTTCCACTCTTCTAATGCTGGGGTCATAGCCACACACATTGGCTGTCATCTAGGTTCTGGGGATCTAAACTCGTTTTCATGCATTTACAGAAAGCACTTGATCATTTCCGCAGCCCATGTCTGTTATTCTAGTTATCTTGAGCGATTTTAATAAGGAATACAGGCTTCCACCTCAGTTGAGCAGATTATGATCAAAAACCTATATTCCCCAAAGCCTCTTCCTTTAGGCTCTAAAATGTTTTCTCTAGTGCTAGTTATGGAGCTAAACAGATTTAAAACATGGTCAGCCTCCCAGTATTCAGGCTGTGCTTCTCCATATTTGAGGATGAAGGTACTTAAAAAAACTACAAAAAAAAAAAAAAAACAAACCCCAGCATCTATGCTGAATGTGTTAAAACACTATTATTCACCCAATAACTACTATTTTCATTGTATTTATATTGTACTAGATATTAGAATTTGAGTGGATTTCATGTATATGCAAAAATGAGCATACCTTATATGCAAAGACTGCCATTTAGGACATTAGTATCCATTAACTTATTATTTTGATCCATGGGTGGCCCTAGAACTAGTTCCTCTTAGAATTGAGGAGGACTGTATTGCGCTTAAACTCAAAAAGCAGCCAGATTAAAAAATACCTTTGACTGTCACATTCTAGAGACTGAAACAAAACTAAAGGTAAAATGAAAGCTAAGGCTACATTGTAAGAAGATCTGAAAACAAACGAGCCCCTTTAGGACTGCTATTCCTGTTTAACAGATAGAAGTCAGATCAAGGATAGAGACAAGTTATTTGAGCCTAGGTTGTGGTTACTACTTAAGAAAACTGATGGGTAGCTTGAGAGGCTGCTTCTCTTACATTCGGAAATCAGAGAGAATAGCTGTCTTCAGATAAACATACTCAACTAGCTAGTCAACTTCCAACATTGGTCACTGTTAGTGGAGCAGGTGAGGTCACAAGCAGAGTGTGTGTGTGTTAGCAATAAACACACCAAGGATGGAGTGCCATTCAGAACAAGGAAGAAAATGACAGAAGAGTAATCTTTATTTTCTAGGACTAATGAAATCATTTTGAGTATGTCGTTTTTAATAAAGTACAAAAATAGTCTTTGATATTCTCAAGCACCTTATATCCATCTTTTTCTAATACAGATTTTTAAAATGTATTTTATTAAGCTATTTTCCCAATTGTTTCTTCATAGTTCTAAGCTCAACAAGAATTCCACTGTCTCCCAGTGATTCTGATTCTCCTGTGTTCTGTTCATCTCCCTACCAAGCCTAGGAATGGCGGCACATGCTTCTGTGGCATCCCATATTCGCCCACACACGTGGCAGCATATAGGATGCTGCCCAGTAACATCTTCCTACATTTATAATTTACAGAACCAAGTAATTTCCCCACAGAAATGAAACTTTAGTGAGTCCATCTTACTTTTTACCTTTGTAAGTTTTATAGCTCAAGATTTCTTTCACAGTTTCATGTAAAAATATATAGTGCATTCAGTTTTAACATTTTTCTCATGTTCCAAGAACTGGTAAATTCAAGACTACCATTCAAAGTCTTAACAGTTCACTGACTCTGTAACAGGGGAAAGCCATGAGATCTGCCATAACTTTTTTGTTAAACCACTCAAAGCAAATATAAAAATCTTTATTGATTTTAAAAAATAAATGTATAATTTAACAACTTGGAGCTTCTGGTCCTGTCACTGATTTCTGTTGCAGCTTTTCACATTAAGGAGAGAAGTAGGCACCTTACGTGAAGCAGGTACCCATCCCCATCACAGTAACTCGCAGCCCTTTATAAATCCCTAAGGGCTACTGAGCAGCAGTCTCAGGGCTTGAGACTCTACGGGCTGCTGCATTGAGACGCACTTGTAGTTTTCATCCAGCACCTCTGCACTGTGTGATTTTGCTGTGAAAAAGAAAATACACATCTCTTTAAGGCCATTCAAAAATATTCAAAAAACTATTACAGGAACTGTTCTTAAAATCTACATGCAGATTTCCTGGTTTGAAAGGGAGAGTAAAGGAAAGCTTTTGTTTAGGGGTGTTTTGTTTGTTTGTTTTTCCCTGTTTTTAGTCAAGTGTTCTACTGAGCTACATACAGCCTTAGCCCAAAAGATGGTATTTTAATATTCTGTTTCAAAAGAATCTCTCCCTTAGGTTTACAGGGATAACCGAAGAGAGCTAGATTATCATAATCAATTTTGTTAGAAGACATTTGTTTTGATACTACATATAACAAAGCAAAATGAAAAGGAAAAATAAGATAGATTTCTGACTGAACATTACTGGGAGAGAGATTTTGTTGCAGAGTTGATGTTTATACTGTATAATAAACTAGCAAGAGATTGTCCTGTCTAGTTCCTACGACAATGGGTTTCAAATGTGACTGTAGTTGTAATGATCACAACAAGGGTCATGAAATGTCTACACCAGAAGCAAGCTGTATTAGTACAAATATTGGACAAACCTAAAATATCTTCTCTTTCTTTTCCTTAGAACGATCAAAATCTTTGGCTACTGAGTCTTAAGCGGGGGTTGGGGGGGAATCCGTTCGGTAAGGAGAAGAGAGGATGAATGTTATCAAGGTGCATGATAAACATCTAACAGGGACATAAGGAGACCATTACTGTGTATGACTGCAAAAACACACAGTCTTTATAAATGCTTTTACCTACATAGACAATTGTACTAGTTTCCTCTCTAATAGTCATTATTTTTTGTTTAGTTGAGCTATTTGAACTGTTTCAAAGACAGCAAAGTTTCTGCCTTTGCTGTTTCCGCGTGGACATAACTTGGCATGCTGTCTAGGGTTTAGTTAGTTCTCCCCTCCAGGTCTCATTTAGTAAATATTAGATATTTTTATCAAGCTGTGTTTTCCATACCGTTATGTTATTAACTTGAGATTTCATTTCTACTTCAAGGGACTGTGTGACATTTTCTTTGCAGTAGCTTTCTGTCCCAACAGTATCAGTGATATTACTTCCACAAGTCTGTGTGTTATAGCCACTGTCCATCTGGAAGGAAATGGAAAACAAAACGCCTTATCATAAGATTGCAAACTCACATTCATTTTTTTAGTTTACATGAAATAGTTTAAGAAATGTAAAGGCTAAGTGAGCATACAGTATAATTTACTATATCTGAACAATATAATTAATGGTGTTCATTGTGAATAACTTTAATACTGTAATTATAAGGCTTTACACAAAATTGCTTTTCACTTTAATACCATGGAAATTTTAATGTCATAGAAAGCAACTGTAATCTCTTGTTTTGTTTTGGTTTTTTTTGTTTTGGTTTTTCGAGACGGGGTTTCTCTGTGTAGTCCTGGCTGTCCTGGAACTCACTCGGTAGACCAGGCTGACCTCGACCTCAGAAATCCGCCTGTCTCTGCCTCCCAAGTGCTGGGATTAAAGGCGTGCGCCACCACCGCCCGGCTCAACTGTAATCTCTTTAGCATCAGTAGACAAGTTACCAAGTGCTTTTCTTTTCTGCTCTTCTAGGATTATGTCCAAAATGAAAATCAACACTGCCATTAGTTTCCCCTTCCAGCTTGTTTCCCTAGCTTATCTCTAAATGGATTGCTTATATGGTTTCTTTTTTTTTTTTTTTTTTAAAGATTTATTTATTATATATGAATACACTGTAGCTGTCTTCAGACACCCCACAAGAGGGCACCAGATCTCATTACAGATGGTTGTGAGCCACCATGTGGTTGCTGGGATTTGAACTCAGGACCTCAGGAAGTGCAGGCAGTGCTCTTAACCACTGAGCCATCTCTCCAGCCCAGCTTATATGGTTTCTAATTACTGTTTGGAGTATTCAAAAATAATACAAAAGCTGAATAATACTCATATTCAGTTGTTCATAATGGTACACTATAAGAAATTTTTTTTTGAGGGGGGAAAGGGTTTTGAGACAGAGTTTCTCTGTGTAGCTCTGGCTGTCCTGGAATTCACTCTGTAGACCAGGCTGGCCTCAAATTCAGAAATCCACCTGCCTCTGCCTCCCAAGTGCTGGGATTAAAGGCGTGCGCCACCACTGCTCGGCTAAATTTGTTATGTTTTAAAACATACTGGCTTGCCACAAGAGAGAAAGGGATTGGTACACTTTTAAGTTAGTACATAGTCCCCGCTTATCATGAAGGATCCTGTCAAAGACACTCCAGGCAATGCCTGAAACTACAGATAATACCACATAAAAACTATGTCTGTTATGTTTTTCCTGCCTACACATACTGTGATAAGACTTAGCTTAAGGTACAGTAAAAGTTCAATATTAGGAGCAGAACAGCTAGAGCCTATTTGTTTAACACTAGTCCTGTTTGGCTGTAAATTCTGCCTCAGATTCCAGAGTGCTGGGATTGGAGGAGGCATGTGCCACTATGCCCAAATTAAAAGTATGTTTATAGAAGTTATGGGATATGGCCTCAAAATATTCAGTACTGCTTTTCCACTTCAAGGAAAAATTCTCTGGCTCCTGTCTGACATATGTGAATGGCCAGAATCATGATTTTATTGCTTTTCAGTCAACACTAAGTTTGTAAAAAGCTCTTTGAATACCAGTAACGTGTGAACTAGTGGTCAGTCGGATAACTGAGGTAGCTGCCCTGTAAAGGAGTGAGTAGTACAGACTGTGAGAGTGTTCGTCAGAGCGTGCTGTGACGGCATCCTGGGCATCCTGTCGCGGGGCACTTCTGGGCATTATCAATCAAAATAGCATGCATTTTGAAGCAAAGTAAATATTTTACAATTTAAACAATTTTGGACCACAGGTATCTAAAACCACAGAAAACAGAACTATTTTTTTTTTTGGGGGGGGGATCTACTGTACTGTAAATAACATTTACTGAATGAAAATGCCCAGTCTTATGTGGCACTGTAATGCCATTTTTTTGTTTGTCCTTTCAACATCTCTGTTAGTTTATAAGTGAGAAAGCTAAGGTTTAGAAAGGTTAACTTCGTGTCATAATGAGTTGTGAGTCAGAGGCTCACAACTGAGGGTTTATTTCACTTTCTCTACAAAAGGCTAAGCGCCAAACAAAAGCAACCCCCCAACACACGCGCGTGCACGCACACACGCACTCTATTCTGACCTAGTCCTTTACCTTTCCTTACAAATTAGGAGCACACAGAAGTTTATATTCTCTGTTCCCCTCATGAACATCTTGAGCAGCCTATATAGCCATTCTATTACTCATGATCACAAGAAAAAGTCTATATCCATTTGCTGGCTAGTGGAAGTCACACTTCATTAACACAAAACCCTTGTAAAGAGTAAAATTTAACGGTATATCACAAGGGAAATCCCTAGTGCTGGTACATTCAATAGAAATTTCATCAAGTATAAGTATCTGATTGCTTACAAGAGTCTGCCAATTACTCTTCCTTTTACTATTTATCACTGCCATATAACTGGCTCATAACTCAGTTCTAATACATACTACTATCAAGGCAAAAGTAACCCAATAGTACAGGAGAACAAGGCACACAGGGAGCCTGTCTTACTTTACAGTAAGAGTGACAGACCCATTCAGATAGTGGCTGATCTTACTGGCTACAGACTACTATCAACATCAGGACCAATGGTGTGCCAGACAGACAACAGGGAATTTAATCAGCCTCTGACACACAGCTTTCTTGAAAAATTGGAAATGCATGATTCTATGGAAAAATGTTTACTGTTTTCAAGTATAATAAGAAGTTATACATAAAAGTGCTCTAAGTTTTCTTTTTCTTCTAAACCACATGAAGGAAAACCAGAACTCTCCGAGTTTTAGAGTACACTACTATGCTAGAAAGTGCTGTCTACCCGCAGCGGATCCCTAAGGAGAGTGACTCCTGAGAGGCTATCTGGACAGCAATCCGCACAAACAGCAGCCTGGTTTCTTTTCTGCTCATCATTTACGATTACAAGTAGACAGTGGTTAATAGGAATATGAAATATGAATAATATAAATCCTCCTGGTTTCAGTTGGCAATTTTGTTTTGGAATAGACTTTTTTTTTTTTTAAGACAGGTTCACACTGTGGCCTGGAACTTGCTGGCTTTGAATTCACAACAATCTGCCTTCCGCTGACTCCCAAGTACTAGCCTTAAAAGGGTGCACCACCATGCTCAGAAGTCCTGGTGATTTTAAAATAATCAAATACAGTCATCACATTTAGCCTTCTATCATTTTCACAGTAGAAATCCACCCAGAGTCAGACTCTAAGCTATTCAAAAGCCTTACCTGGATAGTACTGCTTTCACAGGGCAGAACACTGCTTTCTGCAAGAGGCGACATGCACATATGAGAGTTTTCAATACTGAAGGCAATTCCACTCGCGAAATCAGTCATGGGTGAATTATCCACTGGCTCTTTCATCCACATGCTTTCACCTCCTGTGTCGATTGGATCGACCATATCCACGGTGTCGTTTTCTCTCTCACTTTCCAGACTCTCCAGCGATGCTCGCTCTTTCTCAGAAGTACTAGACTGACTCTGTGTAACGGACATGGCAGTGACAACTAAAGGCTCGCCGTAAGCCACAGTATCACAGTTCAACTGCTGAAGGGGAACTGGCCCAGCATCTGTGCCTAGTGGAGCGACATCTGTGGAAGAAACGTCTTCTTCATCTTCACTGTGAGCCTCGAGAGTAAAAGGTATCCGAATCAGAGAGGACAAATACTGAGGACCACCTCT